TCAGCATAGAACCTTGCATACAAGTGCATTGGTTCAAGTTGCCACACTCCACAGTGGTATACAAAGAGCACAGGTGGATGTAATGAACGAGAAATTTATAAAAATGAAGGTTAGTAAACACTGAAGACTAAATAAATCTGATCAATTTTCCTCTATGTCAACAAGAATCCTCAACCATCGTCTCGGGGATTCCAGTGAAGTATTCTACACCTCTGTATACAGCTGAGGCCAACGATCATGGATTGGTACCACGTCTTGGTCTGGCCATCCTGAACCCTTTTTCGACTTAATCCAATTCAACTAGCGTGGCACATCGAAGAAGGTGGTGATTCGGCATGCGCAGTACATATCCAGTCGATGAAGGTTCACAACCTCATCGACTGACTTGCCTTGCTTGCTTAGTACACTTCACCTGACCTCAATATTGCTTATACGATGATTCTACCAAACGCGAGCAAACCTGCGAAGGCATTTTTGATCAAAATAAGCCATGTCTCACAGCTGTATAACAAAACAGAAAGGATTGGAGTGCAATATACTCATCCTTTTACAGATAATCGAATATCTTACCAGTTGGTCCCACAGTTGACGCTATTTCACAAAAACTAAACTCGCTTTCTATACCCCAGATGAGATCTCGTCAGCTATTCTATGTCATTCACAGTATTCTCAAATCAGATTATTTTCATTTCTTATGGTAATTATAAGCTGTTCCATATCTAATAATAATAATAATAATAATAATAATAATAATAATAATAATAATAATAATAATAATAATAATAATAATAATAATAATAATAGTAATAATGACTCATACGACTTATACATTAGTGATTAATGTTATTTTATGAAACAGTAACTTGTTGGAGGAGTTTCATGTGGAATCGTTCAAATGTTTGTGTTGACTATCTCCCACTTTCAATAACTAAGGAATAAAACGTTTAAATCTATAACACAAAAAAGCTCGACCCGCCTTACTGGATATTGTTGTTAAGCTTATTTGAGATATCAGTGGTTCGAGAAACTGGAATTACTGATATGAAGTAGATGACTGAAAGAGAAATAAACACCTGGATCGTTGTACAATTTGAACCAGAGTCCTCTAGATTACTAACCTGGTATTCTACTAGCTGAGTTAGGGGATCAAAGGCTTAACTTCACCTCAATCATCGAAGATATTGGCAGGCTGTTGTATACATGTATTGCCGTTAACTGTCTTTTGATTGTAATTTTACTGGATGCTAAGTTATGTCTTCTTATCCTAAACCAAATCCGGCTGAAGTAAAGAGACGAAAGTATTTTATTGCTTGTTAGTTAGACTATCCGATAATAGCCGTTCTTTGATAGACTAGTTTGTGATTGAATGTGAGGTGGAAACCTGAGTCACAAGAAGAATCGAAACAACGCCCTCTGGATTACCGGTTTACTGACCTACTAGTTCAGCTACATGAAATCAGTATTTGTAAAGTAGTCCGAATAAATCAGGAGTGAATCAACAAGGTTAAGAACAACATTAGGAAACAACATATACTTTTCGTGAAGTTTCTGAACCTCCCACATAAGAGCATCACTTAAAATTGCCACACTTTACAGCACTACACAAAGAACAAGTGGATAGAAAAAGGTTGATATCAAAGTAGACAAGGTTGTGTGAGAGAATAACCAATATGAAGGAAGACAAGGGATAGCACAAATATTCAAGCTTTGGTTGACATCAGAGAGTGAATACATACATCTACGCCACTATGCCTGACTGAAAGCCCTGTCACTGACTCCTATTGTCTCGTGGACCCTAACTGGGTTAGTCTACGTCTCCCTACACGGCTGAAGTCAATGGTCAGGAACTTCATCAACAAGCACCACAACTTGGTCTGACCTGACCACCCTGAACCCTCTTCCAACCTAATCCAACTTCCACTGGAATGGCATGTCGAGGTAGGCGGTGGATCCGCTCCACGTGTACAGTACATGTCCCATTCATCTCAGTCGATGAATGTTCACAACCTGATCAATCGACTTCCGTGTCTTGCATAGTACTCTTCACCTCACGGTGATCCCACCAAATGCGAACAATTCTGCGAAGACACGGATAATTAAAACCCTGTATTCGCTTCATTTCTTCCATTTTCAACGATCGACGTCACAGATGATGCAAGTTGGTAAATGCCAATCGGCCCTTCCCCATCTGAACTGAGGTTTCGTCACCAACCAACCCATTTGGACTGTTCCTCCTCTTCAATTAACTGAAGTGGTCGGGTCGACACACTTGGATGGGAATGGGTGGTGTAATATGAATACAATGAAGGTGAGTTGATGGTTTCATGCACAGATGTTTCCCAGATGAGATGAGAACTGGTTGAAAACACTGTAGCTAAACTGTAGTTAAATTATTTTTATACAGAAATGACCAGTAATGATAATTGTCTGATTATTCCGTGAAATATTCTCACTAATAATAATGTATTCATTAAATAAGTTGGTTTGTTACGGGTAAATTGTATCAAGGTATATTCACTCAGTAGGTATCTGCTACTGGTTATGGAGGATAGAAGTGACAATTTAGTATTTGAATCAACACCTTATATGTTTGGTGAGGTGTATCCTTTGATTTGGGTGATTTTCCGTGGAACACAGGTGAGTAGTTTGAACTGGTTATCCATTTGATTGGTGGATGAAACTATTTTATTGTTGGACTTTGGAAAATATTCTGTCAGCATTATATTCGTTGATTTGATGTATTTAACTCAGTGAACATGATAAGAAGAGAGTTTGAGTAGGTAGAGGAACCTTTAAATTCGGTGTGATGATTAAGATGAGGATGTTGTGTGTGTTTGTGTGTGTGTGTGTGTGTGGCAAAGGCATCCATAGTAAGGCATTTGATGTGGAGTCTGGAACGGGGTGGAGGGAGTGCGCCACGGACTGCAAGCAGTAGGTCTACATGCGGCTGTACGGTGTAGGATAATGGTCTCATACTTTATGAAGTGGTGCCACATTTTAGTCTGTTTACCTATAGTTTTTCGTAGCCTAAACCTACTTCAGGTAATATTCTACGATGGGATAGTTGGTGCTAGAAATAGTACAATAAACAGAATCGAAACGAACCTCCTGGAAGGATAAAATTTTACCTGAGCATTTGATTGTGGTTGAAAGGACGCATACAGGCTTTGCCGAGTAGAGAATTAAATAACAGGTTGAGTGACTGATACATTCATAGTAGACAAGGTGATTCTTATATGCGTAAATATTCAGTGGAATGATGGAGAATGTTTGTAGTCCAGATCAGTAACCTTGTTGTTGTTGTCTTCTGTTTGTTGGGTGATGCAATCATGTCCTTCTGGAGAATATCAGCAACAGTAACTATATTATTGAGAATAAACCATCAAGCTTGAAGAATGTACCATTACAGTGGTCACTGGATTTTAACTAACTTGGGAGTCGTTGACGAATTGGAATCAACAAGCTGTGTTATTTAATGACCACGTATTGCTGTAGCAACTAAGCTACGAGATTTGAACTGAATATCAGTTTAGTCAGCGAATGTTGAAATTTCATCACACCTGAGTTATTCAGTAACATTGTTGTATAAATTAGCTAAAAAGGTTTCGGTTGGCTGTTTTACTTATTTTTCAATGACTTTTAGTTCGGAATTAGTTGCATGATTAGTGAAATCAATGATTGTGTATTAAGGCATTTTTTATGTATGAAATTGACTGTTTTATTTTTGGTACTGGGCGATGAGTGAAACTGAAATGAAAATTTGGGTCGTGACTGGGTTCAAATCAATGGTCTCTGGGTTATCTACCAGGTGTACTGTCAACTGAGCTAAGAGACCCAGCAACTGTTGATCAGATAATAATTTCTATTCAGTCGACCATGTTTATACCTAACCACCATGTTGCGTTGTAGTCAAGTAATTTATTTGTGTATATACAGCTGACTCGGATTGCCAGAGATATACATGCAACAAGTTCTAGAATTTCTTATTCTGTTGTTAGGATGATCTAATTGTATGATTCCATTATGTGAGTGAATTCCGGTGACTTCAATGGTCATCGTAACAACCGTCGAGACAACCAATTACATTTCTCCATTTTGTGATCAATTACCCTACTAGGCGAAACATCGAAATTTGATTGGTTACTTCAGCAGTTGTTAGGATGGCTGTTAAAGTCACTGGCGAATTGAGGATTCAAGATGTGTTGAGTATATGCAAGGCATCATAGCGACCCAAGTTGTTACACCTCAAATCAGCACAAGTTACAAAAAAATCGGAGGAAGGAGGAATTAAAAAATACTGAATTCACGGTAGCAGTTAAGATGAAGATCAAGTGTGGGAACATCTGCGGCACTGACGTCGAATCTGAGTGATGGCACCAACTAGTCTTCAATCATCGGTTTCTGTTGTCATGTGGGCCTTAACCGGCTAGTATCTCCCTACATGGCTTAGACTAACAGTCAAGGTCTTCACGCACTAATGTTATGTTTTAGTCTGGTCACCTCAAGCCCTTTTCAAGCCTGAACATACTTCAGCCAACATTGTGTCGCAAGGTAAATGGTTACTAGGCTTGCATAACACATTTCTCAGTCGATGAAGGTTGACAACTGCATCAAATGACTTTTTTCTCCTCCCTAAAACTCTACACCTGACTTCTGTGTTACTGAAATGGTGACACCACAAAACACTATCTATGCTATGAAGGTAATGTTGGTTGAATATCTGAAGCCTATCATGGTTACGTTTCGTAGCCATGCAGTACAGTATACTCGACTCTTAATCGACAATAGGTTATTATGGTGTCACGATAAATGGGGTAAGTTGGTGTAAGCCAATCGAATCTTTTGTATTAATGCAGAGATTTTGTTGACCACTACACCTATCAGGTCTGATCCAACTTTTCAGGTAAATGAAGTGTTCAGTGCACTCAACTATTTCACTTGGATTGTATCTTTCTTTACTGGGTTATTTTAAAGTTCTATATATATTTTTCTTTCTTTAGGAGATTGCAGATTGTAAATGGATGCCTATATCAAAACTTTTATCCGCTAATGTGCATACAATTATCTCAACGAATGAATCAAACTCTTTTAATCATGATAATGAAATACACATCACTTCATTTACACAGAAAATTATCCATCTTATAATGATTACTAATCATCATTCAATTGATTTATTGTCAAGTGAATTAACACCGCATAGAGAATCATCCATTATAAAAGGCAAATTTTATGATTTATTCCTTCCAAGGTATTTTAATTCCAACCGATAATAAAGCTATTCATGTATAGATTTTTATTTTATAAATATGTAGTTTTCTTTCAATATTCTCAGGTATTAGCCTTTTTTTAGGATAAAGAAATGATATCCGTTTATCTTCCATTATTATTATTACTGTTATTATTATTATTATTATACCATTAATATATTTCGATTAATGATTTGTTATTTTGTTTATCTAAACTTAGGTCATTCAATGTTCATTATAGAACTTATCAGAAAAATGTATACTTAATTATCTTGTAACAGCATCATTTGATGTCTAATTGCTACGCAGGTTTTACATTGCATTACATCATGTACATACATGAGATATCACGACAATGTGTATATCACCAGTCGAACTTTATTGACTTTTAGAGGTGTTAACCTCCAAATATGAGAATAGATGTCGTCATCGTTCGTGTGTGTGTGTGTGTGTGTGTGTGTCGGAAGATGAGAATGATTGGATTGTCAAACACTAAAGCCCGCTAAACATGACTAGATCTTGTACACCACGCCCAAAAATAAGTAAAATTTTTAATTTGAAAATGTAAAGAATGAAAATAAGTCTTATGAAGATACTAAATATGTTTGGGTATATAACCGTTTACTAGTGAACTTCAATTAAACCTTGTTTTTCTATTTACCTGTCTGTAACCCCGATGAAACTGATGTCCCACTTCAATCAGTGACGTTACCAATGCGCTATTCGGTCTGAGACTGACCTCCTGCAGGGCTGGGTTATATACAGTGGTTGATCACTACAGGGTAACCAATTTCATATGGTCTAGTCTTCAGTGCTGACTAAATTCTATTGATCATGTCACAATGTAATCACCAAGCTAAGAGGCTGACGATTACCTAGAAGTGGGTAATGATACGAGAAGAGGAAGCTTCCATTTCAGTAGTGTTTAACGGGAACGTTCATCACGTTTCAGCTGGATATTTCATTCGCATTGTGAATTGGCGAAGTTATAGACACCTTCATTTTACTGTAGTTTTTTGCTTGAATAGATGACTCACTGACAAAATCAACGTAGAATCTTGCACAGGAGTCTATCAGCTCAAGTTGTTATACTTCATAGAAGCACATAAAGAACAGATGGGTAGAAAAAGACTGATATGAAGTAGACAAGTTTGTATGAGAGAATGAACAAGCTGAAGATAACGGTTAGTGTACATATTCAAGATTTAGAAGATGTCCGGGAGTGAATACATCTCCTCCATTGTGAGCGATTTAAAGCCATGTCACTGATAGTCCTCAACCACTGGTTCCTATCTTTTCGGGAATCCCAGCCATATGGTTCAAGCCAACAGTCAGGGACTTCATGGACTAGTTCTAAGTCTTGATGTGGTCACCCTGAACCCTTTTCCATCGTAATCCAACTCCTCTTGGAATGGCACATCGAGGTACGGGGTGGATCGGCATACGCAGTACATATCCAAGCCCTTTCAGTCGACGAAGATTCAAAATCTCATCAATCAACTTGCCTAGTACCTTTCGCCTGACCTCAACATTGCTCTCACCGTGATTCCATCAAACTCGAGCAATGCTACGAAGACAACTATAGTCGTTGTTAGTGAACTGTCATTCGTAAACCTCAGGTAACGGGTGTTACACAGTTGAATGTACTACCAGTTCTCCTGTTTTTTTCATTTAAAATTCCTAATTATTTCATTAGAAAGTAAAGATATCAGCGAAAAAAAACTCTACATGTGTCGATTTTAACCGCATAGTTGTACAATCATATTTATACTTAATATATGGTAAAGTAGCATTCGTCACGGAATTACATCAGTTGGAGACCGACTGAAGGTCTGGGAGCACTAGGCAGCTGTTTATTCCTATTGTATGACTCAGCCGTGCGTACCTACGATCACGTAAGGGACCAAACTCAGCAACTTCAGGTCTTACCAGTGCTCTCAGTTGTTCTCCAAATAATGTCAAATCAATGATGAATACTATCTTGAAACAGCATATTTACTAATTTGTAATATTTTTACAATGAATTGAGTTAATAAAGTGCATGAGTTCATGTTTAAGAATACTTCGTGAATTATCAAATTGATTCGATTGGAAATATGAGTGAGATGAGTAAGAGGATTTTATTTAAAAGTAGTTGAACTGAGAATACTCGAAAGGAGAAAGTTGACTACGGGTCAAATTGAATCCAGTAACAAAGAAAACAACAAGAATAAGCATTATCATTTAACATGAAACTGTTCTATTGTTAATAAACATTCCATGAATTGTTCAGTTAACATGATAAACCAGATTCAAGGTAAGAAAAGATGCCGCCTATCATCCCAGGTTGAACAATATTGCAGTCATCTACCGATGATGTTGATGTATTCTGGAGCACCAGTTTAGACTCTGGTCATACTTAAGTGTGCAGTAAGTTCATCTTGCGTTTTTATCTTCAAAACTGGGTGGGTCAGTGACCAACAAAATCTCTGCACTAATACAAAAGATTCGATTGGCTTACACCAACTTACCCCATTTATCGTGACACCATAATAACCTATTGTCGATTAAGAGTCGAGTATACTGTACTGCATGGCTACGAAACGTAACCATGATAGGCTTCAAATATTCAACCAACATTACCTTCATAGCATAGATAGTGTTTTGTGGTGTCTCCATTTCAATAATACAGAAATCTTGACACCTACTAACTGATTATTAAACTGAACTCGACTTCAGCTCACTTATCGGTTGTGAAGCATAACTGACTACACCTACATGACGCCATTGTAGAAATAAGCTTAAGAGAGTATTCTTTTTTGTCTTTGTTTCACATCCGTTCGTGCATCTTGAATCAGTTTATATGGTCTTAAACTCCATTGAATTCTGTGATTTAGGACGATAGTGAACGTCTTAGTATTCAAATAAGTGGTAATGCAACAATAATAGAATCAATATTCCTCATCTATGCTTTTATTCGACTTTCAGTTTGTTAAAAAACATTATTTTTTTTAATCCTCAAATGAATAATAAATTATTTTCTTATCAAGAGAAGTTCAATGTGAAAATGATTGAATAAGACCTGTGAAACAGTAATTGTTCGATCATCTAAGATTAAAACTTGTTGAGAATTGGTTGAATTATTACCTTCCAACCAAACCATTTGGTTCCATTTGGATCGAAATTCCCTTCATGGGAACAAGTGATTCAATAACCCCTACCTGTACACAGCAAACATTCGCCAACAGATACAGTAAACAAATTATTAAAACGTTTATGATAACTTATTTAAATGTTGTTTATCTACGCAGAAATGTGTTCTATGTACAAGCATTTCTTCTGTATGCTATTCAAACCAAGGACTACAGAAAGTATTCACTTACAGATTTTTCACTTTTAAAAGCTAGCTGAAAATTGTTACAATTCTTAACATCTTCTATACAAAACATGTTTAAGGTGTTACGTAATGCACACCTAAGAAAAATGAGGAAAGTATTAAGACGTGGAACATTGGATCCCACTGACCCAGTGGGAAATTGCCTGCCACAAGTGGCAGTTCCGATCTGTAGTGGGGTCGCCTTTACGAACCGTCTGGAAATCGCATAATAGGACAAAATATCTATCCAGGGCTTCCGGGTTTTCATTAGTCCTTTAATTGGTGTCAAAGTCAGAATCGGAAAAGCAAGACAGGCTTTCATTAGCCTGAAACCAGTGCGGAGATCTTCTGCACTCAGCATGTGGAACAACATCCGGATTTTCAACACCAACGTCAAGTCAGTGCTCCCGTGTGGTTCAGAGACTTGGCGCGTTACGAAATGGATTTCCAACAAACTACAGACATTCATCAACAACTGCCTCCGCTGGCTCGTTAGTGAAGCTCAGATAGCCAGAATAATAAGGATAAGCGACAAGGAACTCTGGGAACGAAGCAAGAAGCTATCACTCAACAAATATGTAGAAGGAAGTGGAGATGGATTGGGCATACACTGAGAAGGCCGACTGGAGACATCATGCGCTAGGCCAGGTCGTCGAGTGGAACCCAAATGGGAAACGACGAGTTGGGCGTCTGAGCTGAGGGTGACATAGAGGAGATGGTGTGAGGAAGAAATGAGAGCTTCTGGGCTGTAGTGGAGCCGAGTTCAAAAGATTTCAGAGAAGAGAGTTCACTGGAGACGTGCTAATGAAGCTGTATGTTCCAATAGGAACCCAAGGGACAAATAATAATAATTATTTGGTATCAGTCAGTGATTATTACCACTTTGAATTCTTCATCAACTGACTGACCATGTTAGGAATTGGTTGTTCTAAAAATAATTCATACCATCAGGTGAGAAAGCTAAAATCAAAAGAACATTGTTTAGTTGACGTTGATCAAACATCGGCAAGTATACGCTGTCAAAACTTGTTTATCACATTACGCCTGGTATTTAAGTCTTACCATTCAACATATACATTCCCTGTGGTGTATTTTTTTCATATGAAATTGTGATAAACTTTTCGTCTAAAGAATAAGTTTAGTTATATTCGGATCACGTTATAAACTTGCTTTGATGCTGTCAGTATGAGATACAATAGAATTTCTTAATATTTCACGTAACTAGAGCATATGACTCGTTAATCATCAATTGTGTAGGAGATTAAACGAATTACTCATTGTCAAATAACTTGAAGCGATGAAGTTTTTCTGTGTAGGTAGTTTTGTAAATGACTGAACATACTTGGTTGTATTGTGTTCTCTGAGCTGAGTTGTTTAATCGTGAAGCTTTCATCGCCTTGCTAGACAACATCATCAGCACTAACTTCAGTATGAAGTCACTTCATAGTGAACATACTGAATTGATGCCTAGTTAAATGGACACTAGACTGAAGATGGTCAATTCAGTATTCACTTACGAAAATAATGCTTTTTAATAACCTATGCAGTCATGACGACTGTCTCCAAAGCTTATAGAAGTGAATATCACACGAGTTGACTATCTGGTTTGTTGTGAATATGCTTTGTATCCACTAGACGCCTAGAAAGAGAATCCTCGTAGGTATCTGGTCCCTTGATGTATAGTCTGTCGGGAATACATGCACAAAGTCAAGTGACGACCCACTTCTCTATCCTTCCAATATACTTACGAGCGTACTGTTAAGTAGAATTTGAAGTGAAATGAGAGGGGTATTTGAAGTCTTTTGATTGGAGTGATGAGTACTGTGTTCTTACCACTGTGAAAGATCATTTTTAGTGTCATTCTTATCCTTCGATTCAATTTGTTCATCAAAAAGTCATCCTTGAAAGTGAGATAGGGAAACACATGTCTTGGTTGTATTGTGTTCTCTGAGCTGGGTTGTTCAATCGTGAAGCTTTCATCGTCTTTCTGGACGACATCTTCCCCTTCGTCTACATGAGCACCAATTGGCTATTAAACGCTACGACATTTCGTCACTCATTTCAATGCACGTGGATAATTATGGACATGAACTCAATTTCGACAATGTAGAAATTTTGGACGGAGAGAGGAAACAAAAAAATGTCAGAGAATTCCTAGAAGCTTGCCATTCAGGTCAGTCAGCAATCAATAGATGTATAGACACAGAACCAATCTATCAACCAATAACAAAAATGATAAACGACAC